ATTCCTTTTCCTAACTTCTAATAAAAAAGCTTTCTTGGCAGTGATAAGACCAATGCCGGGGTTGGTTGTTGTTTTTTTGTTTGCTTCTATTAATTTGTTCGTAAAAGTTTTATCAGAAATACATATGTACATATGTATGTACCAATGAGCGGCAAAAACTCAAAAGCTGTTCAAAAATTCGCTCCAGCTTTCACGGGCTGGGAATTGTAGATGTGTTTTATTTCAGTTCGAAATGTAGATTAATTTTGGGGTTTTATGTAAGCACATTACTAATGAACTTTTAACAACCGAGTAAATAGTAGAATTTCCACCATTCTGGGTTTATTTAGGTTATGTTTATATGAATGTAGTCATATATTTGTTTAACTGTACTAAAAAAAGCTCAAAGTCAGCACATGCTGGAAGTAAGGCTTCACATAATCGCGATATTAAAGTTATCAACACGTTGTATATATTTGTATTACCTATATGTACATACATATGCACGTATGTGTACAAGAATAGTTTTATTGCGCGTAAAGTCAAATGTTTTGCTCTCTTTTTTAATTAATTATAAATTCATAGGCACACACATACATAACAATAGAAAATATAGAGATTTTGTTCCTGTTTAATATGCATTAGCATTTGTATGGCATATGTTTTTACACATTTATGTACAACTTGGAGACGATTGTACACATTGATTATATATTTCCGTAATTCGTGTATTTAACTTAATGCGTATAAATTCTCAGCATACATGAAAGTACACTAAAAGAAAAAACTCAAACTTTATTAGACTTTGCGTCTTCATCGTCATTTTATATACATATATCAAATATTAAAACAAAGCCTTGGCATTGTTTGACACTATGGATTTGTAGTTCAAGTTTTATATAAGTATGTACGTATAGAGTGATCCATTTCGAGCTTTCCTACTTTTTTTTAAAGAAAAAACAAAGAAAATTCAAATTTATGGCGGAATGTTTTTTATCATTCGAAAGAACATTCTTTATCTATTGAGTCCAATTTTCTATGACATGTTCGAGCATTTCGACTAGTAGTAACTGGCGAATGACATGCGTGATGTTTTGCTCCAACACCTGAACGGAAGCGAGATGTTCCGCAAAGACTTTAGACTTTTCATATCCCTAAACCTGAAATTATCTGTTCATCGAAGTGTTCTCTGAATAAATCCATTGACTGATGCGATGTGTGAGCAGTGGCGTCTTGTTGAAACCAAATGTCACTGAGATCACGAGGTTCAATTTTAGGCATCAAATAGTCGGTTATCATGGTGCGATAACGGTCGCCATTGACGGTTACGTTCTCATCGGCAACATTTTTGAAGAAATGTGCAATGATGATTCCACCGACCAAAAACAAACCACACTAAACCGCTGTTTTTTTTTTAATGAAATGACAGTTCTTGAATCTTTTCAGACTGATCTTTGTCCCAAATGCGAAAATTTTGTTTATTTGCATACCCATTGAGCCAGAAACTGACCTAATCGCTAAAGAAAATTTGGCTCGAAAACGTCGGATATTCTTATAACTTTCCAAAAGGTTAAAGCGTTTTTCAATTTAAGATCTCTCTGCACCAAGTCGTCCCATACGTCGGTCCACCGTATTCGTGTCAGGTATGGCTGCTATATTTTCTCCACCGCGTGCTGGACGTGTTCTATTCACGCTCAAGCTCAGTACCTTGAAGTCGACCAAAATCAAATTTTTTTGTAAATAAAAGTGTTAATAAAAACGGTACAAAAACTATTAACTGACCGTTTTCATATTCTAATTTTATTCTTATTTTCGGAAGAATCAACACGTTGTCAATTCTTATTAAGAAGCCCTTTTCGCAGTCCTTAAAGCTCTGCAGCAGTCTCCCCTATTTCGGCTTTCTTCTTCTTCGTAAGGCAAAATCTCTGATTTTGCATATTCATATGTATATATTGTAAAATGTATTCGATTTTATTTTATTTATTCAACATTATCAAAAAACTTTCTTTAATTTTATATTTTTCTTATTTTTATTCGCTTAAATCTCATTACTAAAGATCGCTGTGCTCGGTATCTGGAAATATTTTGCAATATGATGTCTGTGCAGCAACTAGTGTGGTCAACTTAACGTCAATATTATTATCTCTTTGGCCGCACAATCGTATGCATTAATGCTTATATGTAGACGTGGTATGTTGCTCTCGAATCCCCAATGAATTGTATTTTGATCGCAAGTACGCTGGGGCGTATGAGTAATGTGCATTTGTGTGTGTGTGTGTGTGGACAACCAAAACATATGCCTTTTGACGAATTTCGCAAGCATTAAACAGACATACATACATATATGCATGTATACATGTAGATTTGTGTAGTTGAAATATAATAATTTCGAATCCACTTGTCATTTGCGCAAATGTCACATACTCTCCGAAATCGCTGCACGTCAATGGGAACTCATGAAAAGTTCAGTTGATAACAAATTTTCTACGAATTGCATTGTTCATCTCCCTTTTTTTAATATAAACAAATGCGAATTAAGCAACTTTATTACCTTTAAGTTATTGTCTCAATGAAAGCTTATTGATGGTATGAGTGCAATTTCCGGAGTCCCAGGAAAAAGGTGCTTTTTCGTATGTTTTTCCTTTCGGTTATGGATTCTGGGTAATCTGATTAACGTAAATGATAGATGACAAGTTATTATGCGATTTATAAATGCTTATTTGTATTTGCACAATAATACAGTTGCTTGTATAAATTACTAGTATTTATGCTTTTCCAGTTCCGTTTATATAAGTAAGTATATAGTATAAATACTTGCCTCAGTTTGTGTATGAACGTGTTGTTCTTTCTTAATCTTTACTTTAAACTTATCTGTTATTAATGAGAGACTATAAAGGCACCACTTCAGTTCGAATATTATAATTAGTTAGACAAAGCTTTAGTCTGTTGAAGTTTCTTCTCGACTGACTTGTGAATAACTTTGTTACAAACATTTTCTACCAGATATAGTATAATGTCCAGATTACATTGGTAATTATTTATTTATATAATTGTTACGCACTATTGCGGTTAAAAATGTATTTTTTTTTAATTTATGAAGTTAGTGTGTTGAAAAAGTAAAAAATTTAACCAGATGAAAAAGCAAGAAAACCTTGGAAATTTGCTAAGTCGAATTTTTTTTTATTTTTACCAAGGCATTTCCAGATTTCAAATTCAAGTGGTCAAAGAAGTACAATACTTAAAGTTGCTTAAAAAAGAAAACAACAAGGGATGTGAACTTAAAAAATCAACCACAAAATTATGTCAGAATTTTTGAAGAGTGAAAAAAACGTCAACTTCTGCTGCATCGAAGTTTAAATATCCCCCAAAAGTGTATTTTTCATAGCCTAAAAGGATAACAAAGGATCTTAGAAAGTTTGCTTTACAGTTATGGTATATGCTACAGTGATCCGATCTAAATTTTTTTTTGGATGTTGTGGTGCAACCTTGGGCAATAACTTGCGCCATATTTCGTGAAGATATCTGGTCAAATAATAAGCTTCTCACACATGGTTTTGATTTTGATCGATCAATTTGTATGTCAGCTTTATTGTATAGTGACAAATTAATCGATCGTGATTAAAATAATTTATGGATATCTCAAAAACTGAGGGACTAGTTCGCATATGTACAGTTGGACAAGCAGACAAGGCTAATTAGATTCAGCTCGTCATGCTGATCTTTTAGTATATCTACCATGTTGTTCAATAAGTTTTGTCGTTTTATAAGAAAAACACAATTATAGATTTAAAATACACTTTATTATTCAGTTTAATCTCCTTGAATATTAATACACTTGCTCCAACGATCCATTAATCTGTGGATCCCATCCCTGTAGTGAGAATCCGGAAGGTCTGCCAAATGTCTTTTTCCAGCAGTGCTCCAACTGTTTAAACCACCTGCAAAGTAGGCGCAACGTTCAATTCAAAGTCTGGAAAGGGACTTTTTCAAGTTTAGAGACAAAAACCAATAACATGAGTTCAAATTCCGATAATTCGGTTTAAGCTTCAGGTAATCGATGTGAAACCCGCAATTAACACCTTTCCGATTGTGCTTAAACAACGTCAGTCCTTGCTGAGAGGTACAAACATTTCTGTCCGGGGTGAGCAAACGCTCTTTCCATCGAATTTTAATTAGGGTGGTAGGATTAAATTCTTATCGGATGTTTGATATCATATTTTTCATAGAGTGCGAACCACGTTCAGATTTAGAACTAACAAATGAAGCGTTGTTTCATTAAGCTATTTTTTAGTGAAAACTTAGCATTTTATCTCAAAAAGCTCATCAAACGTATGATTACTAGTGATGATACTGAAAGCACTGAAAGTCTCGGCTAGATATTATAAAATGTATATGTTTGAATTAAGCATTATAATGCTTGTATTGACTCAAAATGAGTCTATTTTGAAGGTCATAAGAAAGAATTGTATTAAAATAAATTAAAATGTATTTTTTTCTGTCAGTCCGGTTCAAATTTGATCATATGTTGTAATATATTTAGTTTTAGTTCTATCATTTAAAATTCCATTTTTACATACATATATTAATAATAATATTTTTATCATAATATAATATTATTTTATAATCAATCCCAATACCAACTCTTTATCTTATCTTATTTTCTCGCACCATTTCCATAAGTAGCGCCTTTTGCCTCAAATGTGCAAGTGCATTCATTTAATTGTCAGCGGATTCCAAGAACTATTCAGCCATTAAACAATAAATTCAATGAACATTTCTCTTTATTGGAAATAAATAATACCATTTCCATTCTTGCAACCTTCACATTTATCAACCTGACCTACCCATTATTTAAGTATGTTTAACCAATTAGCGGTACTTATAGGTGGTACAACACCACAACATAACACAGACATATGTATGTATGTATGTATGTATGTATGTATATAATTCATATGTGTATATTTGTAGCTTAAGCCCACAACTAATTTCAGCTTTTTCTTCCCATCATTTACTTTCAGTTGGCGAAAAGCCATACTCTCCGTCGGCACAATATTGCTGCACGCGATCGCCACAGTGACGGTGGATGCGTCGCCTATAGCGATGACGACAACAGCGGCGACAGTGTTGACAACGGTGGCGGCAACACCGTCATTGAACCCTTCAACACCAGGTAAGTGCTTAGCACATGCTTACAGAATAAGCACGTGCGAAATAGCCGAACAGTAAATAAATGTGGTTTATTTTTGCACTTCATTTACACGTCACTCAAACACAATAGGCTATTCACGATCTGCTTTAGTTGTATTGCACTCATGGTGTTCATTTTAACTTTGTTATTTTTATTACAATGTTCAATGAGCTAGAAAAGAAGCTTGGTTAAATAATAGAAGGCAGTTCTTGCTTTAACAGAATCTGGCCGGTTATACCATATTGAATATCTGATGGCTTCATAGAAAAGCTTAACGCACACCATCCTTTTAAAGTAGGCTTCTAAGCCAATATAAACATTAAGCCAATGTTTCATCAAATTTTCCATACATTTGTTTTAAGCCTCGGCTGGGATAGCCTTCGGTGCCTTCAACGATATTTGTTGTTTTCGGTTTCGGCTAATTTTTGAAGCGCCATTCGCTATTGTATAGCTCACGTCTCTAATGATGTGTTTGAAGAATGCAGTGTTCTCAGCTATAGTGTCAAACATCTCGATGGCAGTTTTGCCAAAGGTTCATGACTTTTGGTGCGAGTAATACGCTTAATACCCAAAACTGTTAATTGCCATTACCCTGTGAGCGGTGACCGACAGATTGGGAAACCTTAGGACGGATAAAAGACGATCTAGAAAACTGCACAGGTGAACTAAAGCAAAGATACTGCTGGTTATGTTTTAAATCATACGGTCGTTTATATACTCTGACTATGGGATGTCTGCCATATGAGACGGATTCAGGCAGTTTCAGTAGTGGCGAACCTCTGTTGAAGGCGCTTTCGCAGAGGACTTAACTTAAGTAAAAAATTGAATTTTTACTTTTCATATTTTTGCACTAATCTTATAGAAAACTAAGTTCAATAAAGCGTGAATAACCCTAACATAAGAAATCTGTAGATAAGAGTAAGCCATTCGCACTTTAGAAATGTTATTGTGGCGGCTTCGTTATTTTTAATCGGCACGAAAGAAGGTTGCCTTAATTTAGTAGAATCGATTGGTGGACTATCTGTTTTAGACTATTTTACTACATTGACTAATATACTATCAATCTAGAAATTTGTTCATTTACTTATATGCTGTTGTTGTTGTTGATTAGAAGTATGTATATATGTATGTACATATAATTACGATTTTTGAACCCAATTGTAGAGTTCAAGATCTCAATTGCTGTGGTTGATATCTATGACCTTAGCAAAATCTCCCACAATTCCTTGAACCATGCTTACATTTACGTACCCGCCATTCCACAAATTTGCAATTTTTATTGCAATCGCAAAAACAAGAAAATGAGTAAATATATACATACATATAAGCACATTTATTTTTTATCGCCAACTCGTACATTTCAACGGGCTTTCGATGACATTCACAGTACACAGATACTATACATAGTATATAGAAATGGAATAGTGAAATTTCTCATAACCGAACACAAACCGTCGCTGGTTTTTGTCCGGTTAAAGGAGCGACCCACATATGGCGGCGTAGCAAAATGTGTGTCTAAAATATATTCTTACTGTTAGAAGCTGCAATTCAGAACTATAGTTTTACTGAATAGAAATATAGTATGGGAGCCACTGTCAGCCAGGACCAAAGGAATGGTAGTTATCCCATTAGTTTCTGTTGAGCTGTGATTGCTGAGATTATCAACTAAAAGACTGGTGCAAAACTCCACAAATTAATAAGAATTAAAAAAACGTGAACTAAAAATTTTACACAATTTTCTTGTCCTGTCCGTTTATCTGAGATAATTTCAACGAAATATTACCAAAATAGAGTCCGTGTCTGGTCATTGAATGCACTTATTTTAGGTTATAGGAACTTCTTTTGTATGAAAATGTTAATGAAAACATTGTGTTCATGAAATTTGTCCAGTTATGTTAGTTGCCCGTATTGAGAGAGATTAGCCGTATTGAGAAATTTCGCTGTAATATACATAAATATACTCACATATATACATATATATATGTACATATTTACATGAATGCGCCTACTGTTCTTGTCTTCTTGACATTTTGCGATATTGCAATAAATCACCATTTGTTCATCAATTTCGATGTTTTCCTATTAATGAAACATTTAATTTCTCATTCTATAAAATATAACGGCATAACGGCGTTATAATTCCTACATCAACGTAATTTTATTGCTGTTGATTTGTTTACACTTTAGGTTTCTTTACTTTATTAGTTTGTATGTATGTATGTATGCCCGCAAAATCTCAGAATAGAAGAAAACAGAGTAACAAATGTCAAATTACTGTTTTCAAAGAAATCCAATAGCTCTTGGCCATATTCAGGAGTGTGCCACTGTTTATGAGTACATAATGTATATGTGTAATCATGTCATAAATTCTCCGTAGGAATATTCATAAAGAATGCTAGTGATTAATGAATTGGAACTTGTTCTCATTTTCGTACAGATTGCCAAACGAATGCTATTTCAAATAGTTTTCGATATTTCTAAGAAGTAAATTTTTTAAAAACGTTCCTTTTGCTTCGAGAATATTTAGAGTATTTGGCGTTTAGTAAGAACTCTCTCTCACCGCCAGCGTCTACACTAAAGTCATTAGTACATTCATAGTAACATTTCCCTAATCTTATTAAAGTACTTAAAAGTTATTCACGACATCTAACGAATGCATTGGTTTCCTTTTACCCCGTTAAGCCAATATCTGTCAAATTGGAGAAATGAGCAGTTTGCCACAATTTCTGACTTTCAGCTAGTTATCTTTTCGCAGTGCTGTGATATGAAAAAAGTTTTATTCATATTGATCAGAGCCAAGTTCTCCAACTACAATTCTTGATTAGTTTATCATGTGCTAGGTTTGCCCAATATACAAGGTGTGTTCCAAAGTAAACAGGACTTTTAAAGAAAAAACAGAACAAATGATTGTTTTTGGCAAAATCAATTTATTTTATTAAAAATTGTCTCCTTCTGCTTCAATACAGAGCGAACGAGTGTTTTAGGTCGTTGGTCGGCATGGCCGCCAGTATGCCGTTGCAAGCCTCTTGAATGGCCTCAACGTCTGAATAACGCTTCCCTTTCATGAGCAAATGCATTTTTCCGAAAAAGAAGAAGTCGCACGGTTCCATATCAGGTGAATATGTGGAGTGGTTAATGGTTAAAATGTGATTTTTGGTCAAATAATCGTCACATGTGTCGATCGATAATACGGCGCATTATCGTGCAACAAACGCCAATTTGTTTTCTTCGCTCGTTGACACCAGGGGGCGTTAGATTAAAAAGTCCTCGTTAGCTTGGAACGCACCTTTTAAATACTATTCTCGTGCATTAATTTTCCTACAGGGTACATTCGTATGTGCGAGTGCACCTTTCGTGAATATGTACATAAGTAGTGTCTATGTAGCATCGAAATTCATTGTAATAATTCGAGTTTTCTGGTTTTGGTTTTGTATTTCATTCTGCCGTGCCGGTATGGTACACCTGTCACTTTTCTAAGGCAATACAAGTGCGTTTGTTCATATATAGGTATGTACGGGCAGTCCAGGTTTGTACATAAAGCCGTATTATGATTTTCGTTTGTGGATTTTTAAATACTTTGCATGTTAAGTGTTAATTATACTCCATGGAAGTTAAGTGTGTGAGATGTTGTTGTAGCATCGGAAAGTATTCCCCGGAAATATTGGAGCAATCTAAATATACATACATATGTATAATTATATGTAATTACAAAGTCACACTTCTTTAATTTTATTGTTTATTTAGCAGTAAATTTCACGCTTAGGAAATAAAAGCCTGCCAACAATTGTTGTACTTCTGAAACAGCTGAGTGCTTTGTCATTTGCGCCATTACCAGAATTACTTGAGAAAATATAACAGTATTTACATAATTACATATTTATAATAAAATTCATTTAAACGAAACGAAAATATGTGACAATAAGGCATGTTCTGTAATTTGTTAGAGCTCCACTTGTTAAAGCCTCGTTTGGGATCGCCATAGTGGCTTCATCAAATTTTGGTTGCGGCTCATTTTTGGCCCGTCATTCGTTGGTTTTTGCACACTTTCGACGCCATATTCATAAAACCCTGTGTCGTCAGCAGTAAGGATAAGAAAGATACAATTCATGCATGTCTGCAGCTATGGTAATCATAAATTTTGGACCTCTAATTGCTTTTTATTTCGAATGATCCACCAACAAGTTATGAGGGGCACGGTTATCCTCCTGATTTACGAAACACCTTCGAATAATTGCTACCATTGCTGAATTTTTATATTATAAACAAAATATATGAACTTTGCAACGTAGTTTGCAACACCCGAAAGGCAACGCCTGTGATCTTATAAAATACATATATGAATATATTTTCCCCAAGAAGTTGCTCATTTGTCGGACTCGCCAATATTGGCTAACTATAACAGGTAGAGTTCTCATTGCCGGGGATCTCCCTTAACTAGACGAATTTCAAGAAAAAAACATTTATATTACTATTTTTATACAAAAATCATAGTTATCTCTGACAAACGAACTTTAGGAATATATTTTAAACAACGCCACACATGATTACGGCTTCTTTAGTACAATAGAAGCACTACGACGGTGGGTCTCCGATTATGAGGAATTTTACTGTACATGCCATGTAAACTTAATGATTAGAATTAAGCGGTTGTAAGGAAAACATTTTTAATTGAACTTTCGTATGAATTTTTGACCAAAGCATTACTTACTGATTAATTTCGGGATTCCCTGCAGTCAACAGTGATGTGGGTGCCTAGTCGCGAGTGCGATGACTGTTTGTTTGATGACAAGAGATGTTTCGTCTTGCCCTCGTTAACCACTACACCCATTTGCTTCTGCTGCCTTACCCATTTTGAAGAAGGCGGACTAATGGCGCGGGTGTTAGGTCAATGATATTAATACCCTCGACGAAAGTCAGCAGCTGTACACTCTTATAGAAGATGGTACCTTCTCGGTTTAGTTCTGCAGGTCTGCAGTAGAGGTCCTTCCCGATCCTGACCGTGCTTTTGGTGTTGCTCAACGTCAGCTTACACATCCGCATTACTTTCGCGAGGATACTAAATTCAGATATCACGGCATAAAGGTAGTCCCTTTCGTCCTGTCAAAATCAGCTTTGAAATCGACGATGAGTAGGTCCGTGTCGATTATCTTTTCACGGGTCTTTTCCAAGATTGGGCGCATGGTGAATATCTCGTCAGTTGTTGATTTGCCAGGCCTAAAACACTGATAAGATCCAATCAGTTTGTTGACGGTGGGCTTTAATCTTTCCCACAATACGCTCGATAGAACCTTATACGCTATGTTGAGGGGGCTTATCCCACGGTAGTGGGCGTAGATTATGGAATCTCTCTTTTTGTGGATTGTGAACGTCTGCTCCATCGTCATCGATTGGAGAATCGGGTTCGCCTTCTCCTGGCGTTACGTTTTAACCGCCATTCAGCAGGCTGGGGAAGTGTTCCGCCATAATACTCTAGGGTGATTCACTGGTAGATATTTCTTATCGGTCCCATAGCTTGCAACACAAATTTTACATACATATGTGTATGTATGAAGCAATAATTAAATAACAAGTTATTTAAAGATCTGCTTAATATTATAATAATTATGATTATTTCTAATAATGATTTTAATGAGTTCATTAAAATGTATATACATACATACTTACATTTATACACAAACCCTTTTCAATGCTTAGTACTTTTTGCATAAATATCTGTACTGTAAGTATGCGCATATGTGTCTCATTTTGAAAGATGAACGGAAATTTCACCATTTATTCTATTAGTGAGTGTTGTGATAAATTATTTCGCATAAAACCGGATCTCAGAGAATTGAAGCTTCTTTGAAACAAATCAATTACATACATGTATACATACATTTGTATATTTAAACGTTATAATTCTTAATCGAGCTTGCGTTTCATCACTTAATGGATTTTGTGAAATGATGCTATCAATACTCTGGAAGAAGCTCAATTAACTAAATTCTTGAAGTTTGTTGTTTACAAAAGGATATCAGAAATCATTACTTATGGTCACTTGCTTTATTTACATATGTATATACTTTTATATACATATATATATACATGTATTGATATGTACATACATGTTTACAATCAATATTTACAAACACAACGAATCGGGCAAATCTGTTATTGCGAACAGTGTGTATTGCCTCGAGGAAAGAAAGAAGTGCCCCAAAAGAGCTGGGTTACATATTTTTCTCACTTTTTTCTACGGAAATATATGGTATTATTGCGGTTAGTAATCGCCAATTAAACATCCGGTGGATTTGGTGGTAAATTTCGTTCGTTTTAGGGAGTCATAAGCTCCTTCCGTTCTCTTCTCTAACCGACTATATCGGCAAAAGCTTTTCAATATGCCTCGCATAACATCCGCGAATGCAAAAAGTCGCTCAACAATATTTCAAATGTACAAATGAAATTCGACATCTACTAAGTTAGACGTAAATTATAATAAATTATATTGATATATGTGATAATTATATAATTAGCGCAAAATATTCCTTATAATTTGATTTCAAATAAATGACTTTACGCTCTATTATGAGACATTTCAGGTCAATTTATCTCAGTCAACAACTATAATTATTGCCATACCTATGTACATATGCACATTCATATAAAAATGCTTCCATATTTGGCGACCTTCGGTCAACTGACAGGTATAATCTCATACGCTTTATATAAATCGATTCGTGGCAGAATATAGACTTTATATTGCAAAATCACACAAAGCGCCTTCAAAATATGCACCTTTTGAGCTAATAAAAGCAACGCTTAATCTAATTTTCCATACACTTGACGAATTTTGTTTATTTGGTTGGGGCAAATTTTTTGAGCATCATTCGCTAGATTGTTGGACAGATTGGACATCGTATCCATAAACCCATGTCTCGTCACTACATAGTAATAAATCGATTGATGAATGCAGGTTGTTCAGCTTCTTTCTCGACGTCGTTTGTGCAAGAGATTCAGGTTATTTGGTACGACTTAATTATTGACTACCCTCATACTCAAAATATTAATTAAGCTATGTTAGGTATTGGAAAAAAATTGTTTATTGATTCAATTTGCACGCGGAGTAAATTGATCAGTCCGGGTCAATTTTGATCATGCTATTTTTATAGTCCGATGATAATTGCCTTCTTAATGTAATGTATATACCAGGTTCGATCTTCAAGCTTTGGACATTTTTTTGTCACTGGTACATTTGTCCAATATAATATTAACTTGCTATTGACTGTGTACTGTTACACTCAAATTTATTTTGCAGGGTTTCTAAAACGGGGCATCCGAGTGGGACACAATGGCAACGCAGTTATAATATGCAAAACATTCGATTTATCAAACACGTGGTTTCATGAAGTTATAGAAAATAAAACAAGCAATCCGCTAAATACTAATGATGAAGTAAGTCCGTTTTGTTCATTTTTAAATTGTCTTGCACGAATTAAAATAAAATATATTTCTTTTTTAATCATTCCAGATTTTAAATAATTATGCGGTGCTGCTCTTAAAAGGTATTAATCGAGACGGTGTTTACCGATGCATGCAAGGGGCGGAAATTTTGAGTGAAACTAATTTGACAATTGGTAAGTACTTAAATATGCTTAGTTTTAAAATATAATATAAACTCTTAAAGAGCTTAGGCTCTGTATTGCTTGTCAGCTGGACCTCCTAATGCGAATTCAGGGTTGCATAAGCGAAATATATAACGGAAAATATTTGTTTTAATATAATAATCAGATTAATCACAAAGGTTATAGTGTAATATTTTTTCATGGAAATAAAGCACAGCTTTGTTTTCTGTTGGTAATTTTGGGTATTATTAAAAGTTCAAGCTCAAACTCATGTAGTAAATCAGAACGTATTGCGTAGTTTTTCTCATATTCAATAAATAAATTTCGTGCTTGACATTTTTATTATTGTTGTTTTTTGTCAAACAACGAATAAAATTCGTAGAAACTGAGATGGGATTAAGAACAATATTTGCCGGCTTATCGTCGCATTTTGGCACCATACAGAAAAATCCTGAATATTTTCTAACTATAAAATTAGCACTGTGCTTATACATATACATACATACATCTTCTTCTTGATTGGCGTAGTCACCGCTTACGCGATTATAGCCGAGTTAACAACAGCGCGCCAGTCGTTTCTTCTTTTCGCTACGTGGCGCCAATTAG